AAACTCTTGATTTGGCTAGCCATCGGGAAGACCTACAAAGGTAAGTTTTAAGTAAGAGGGTACTAGCCTGGTAGCCCGAACTCACTCAGAAATAAACACTTTAAAAAGGCTCTCAATCTAAAGAGTCTCTTTCCCGGAAAACTGTCATCTTGCTCCTTGATGTTGAACTTATATGGTCCATTGTCCTTGAAAAGAATTGACAGCGAGTTGTAACCAGCGGTTAAGGCAATCCACTTCTTACTTTGTGGGACTGAGGTCATTTCCCCTGTTTGCCTTTTCTAAAGCTAAATCGTGGATGAGTCTTTCTACAAAAGGCCCGACAGATGGAATGACCTTCAGAAACTTGTGTTGGAGCCTCACTTTTAAGAAGGTGTTGATCATGTTGGTAACTAGATGATAATATTGGATCAAGAGCAAGTCCTTTATCTGATAATGACCCATTAGGTGGCCCACTATGAGCCAAGAGTTTGTCCTACACACCACACGATTCGCCCCTACCACGTTTTCCAAGTTGAGTCCAACTATAATGGCCTTGTAATTAACCTGATTGTTAGAGGTTTTGAATCCAAAATGCAAGGATTTCTCAATAAGCACATCGTTAGGCCCTTCCAGAACTATGTCGGCCCTGACACCCTTTAGGTTTTAAGATTCGTCCACATGCAAGGTTCACACTTATCCTTAAAAACCCCTTCTCCCTGCAAGTCGCTCGCGAATCCGCCAAAACACTATGCCTTTATTGGTCCCCTTGGTTCATAATTCAGATAACTCTACTGCCCATGATCACATTAGGTCTACAAGATCTGGTTTCTACAAAATCTTCTGGATGGGGTAGTTGGTTCTTACGATAACCTGATTACATTAAAATTCAGGCGTAACCGTCTTGTTGTGATGACAAGAGACAAAACAACCTTATCCATCATCTGGTACCGGATCTTGGCCTTTGCTCACTATCACAGTCTTACGAAACCGAACATACCATGTGAAGTTACCTTCTCTTCACACCTTCTTCATTACCCTGTATCCGTTATCCAAGCCTCATTGTCATATCACTGAATGGGGGGTGATTGCAAAAGATTCTCTAACGCTTAAGTTAGCACTTAGTTAGAGATTCTTGGTTAAATATGAATTAATTGCAAAAAAAGTGAAGTCAAACCTTCATTAAAATACTATTTATAGGTGTACGTTGTTGACCATGAACCCTCTTTCAAATGGGTCACAATTACGGCCCATTGGCCTTGAGAACCAATGGCTAGCTTACTTGTTGAGCTAAGGTCATATTTAGCTAAGTCTTATGATACTGGAATGCCTTCAGCAGGCAGGAGTAGATGTCGGTAGACGGTACCCGATACTCGACATTCAACTTGACGATCCCTCTTGAGGTACTCAGCACTACATATTTATGCCCACATTTATGTTTTAAAATTCAAAATTTTGATGAGACTCTTGTGCTTAAATGATTGATTTAAAATAAAATTTGTGATGATTGGCTTTATCGGGTTTAGAAATTAAAAAGGCCTAAAATGTGGTTTTAGTTGCATAAATTATTTTGAATAGTCTAATGTTTGTTGATGAAGCTCGAATTAAAGTTTGAATTGCAATTCTGAAGATAAAGAAAAAGCTAAAGTGCAATTAGAGGAAAGTTTTGAACTTTTGTGCAATTTTGAATAAAATAAAAAGGGTTGAAATGTAATTTTGGACAAGTTTATATTTTAAAAGATAATTTGGAGAAAATATATCTTAAGATGTTTTATTTGATGTTGTTAAATAATGACCTTATTTAACTATATCAAAAAATATCAAAAGATAATATTTGCCAAATCTTTTTGAATCTAGGAAAGATTTTATTAAATATTCTCAAAAAATGATTAAATCTGTTGAATATTTAAAAGATATTAGATATAAGATAAAAGATCTTATCAACAAAAGATTCAGAGTTCAGGCCCAATCAAGCCTATATAAAGAGACCCAGGGGAGGCATAACTTATTTATTCTCAGACTCCTCCACTGGAAGCCATCATCCACCACTCCTCTAACTTTTATTTCATAATGTATTCTACTCCATTCATGGAGGGCCAAACTCCTAGGGCTATTCCACTATAATTTCATTATGGATTTTGAGGTTAACTTGAATTAATGCAATATTTTCTTTTGATTATTGATTTAAGTTATTCTTCTTCTATGTATTTCATCTCCAAATCATATTAAAAGCAATGATTTGTTCATCATAAGGTGTTTGAATCTACATGCATATTAACCATATGAGTTCAAGGGTTTCTAGGTTTGGTTGAGAATCTACTTTGTTTAGATTTAGGAACTTTCATATGATTAAACGCGTTTTTGCTATCAATTGAGAATTACTTTGATTGGTGGTAATAATTTCAACTATAATTAATTGAGAGTTTACTTTGATTGATTAACTTTTAATTTGGTTAGGAGATTTAAGAATAGACATGATTAAACATAATAGAATTTGATTGATAATGTACTTTGGTTGAATTCATTGTGAATAATCTAGGAAGGTATTGCATTTGATTGAGAATCTACTTTGGTTAACTGCATGATCGCCCTCAAATTAATTAAGAATGTACTTTAATTAATTTGAAACTTGAACAATAATCAATTGAACAATGATCTGTGGATAATCGATGATGAATCCATCTTGGAAAATCAGTGGAATTAGCCTATTTCATTATAATTATTTTTAAGTTTCCTCTTTGTTCTTCAAACATTCTTCAAACATTAATTCTATTAGCATAGTTTCTCACTTTAATTCTTGAGCATTGCATTGCATTCATAAGATTCAAATATTGAAAAACAATTTTGTATTCTTTGGGAGACGACTCATGGTTACTTTAACCCTATCTACTTTCTTGAATACTACTTGAAAATACTGAAGTTTTCTTAAAAAGTAGTATTAATTTGATAACTTCAACGACAGCGTATCACTCGACATTTAACTTGACGATCCCTCTTGAGGTACCTAAAGGTTGCCACGTTGGTCGCATGTTATCCCATACTAGATGTCCAATAACCAACATTAGTAGGTTATACCTGAGTTTGGAGGCCATAATTAGCAGGATCAAGAGGTCTTCTGCCATATAAAATGTAATGGATAACCTGCTTGAAATCAAATTTAGTGTTCCTTAAAAAAAATTCAAGTGTTTTGATGTTATTTTCAAAAGATTTTTTGACAATAAATAATACAATCAAGAATACAATATTCTTTCAATGTATTATCACCACACTCAAATACAAAAACAAATCAATCTAGAGAGGTTATACTCTCTCTCTCCCTCTCTCTTAGAGTCTTGCCTACCTAGCTAAGAAAACACAAAGATTACACAAGAATTATAAAACTTGGTGCACCAACAAGTGAAGATTTCACAATGACAAACACTACAAATTTCTTGGTTGATCACTCTTTGTTTCTTGAGGCCTTGAAGACCTTAAATTTCTTCAAAACTATGATGCCTCCAAGATTGTTAAGATAGTTCTGAACGTGTTCTTGCTTCAACTTGTTCAAAATCAAAATGTTCGTCTTTCTAAAAGTGAGTTAGAACACATATATATAGCCTAAACACAAAACTAATGCATTTAATGTTATTTTCACAATTGTTTAAACGTTTCAAACTGTTTTAATCGATTAGGTTAATTTCTTAATTGATTAAAACAAATAGCGAATGTCTGGTGTGCCTATGACCTATTTTAATCGATTATGTTATTATCTTAATCGATAAAAGTTTGTTCATAACATTAATCGATTAAGGGATATACTTAAACGATTAAAACAGTGGCACAACACCATATTTATGCAATTTTGAACCTAAGATCAGATTAACCATTCTACCCAACCAAGAATCTATCTTATATGAAATCATAAAAAAGCACACATTTTATTATACTCTCTTCAAGGTGGAAGAGCTTGTGAACCCTCTCTCAACAAAAATAATATATTTTTTAGAAAAAACACACTTTTTTTTATGTAAGTTATATCAATAATCATTATACAATGGACCTCAAAAAATTAATTTATCAAGGATTTACACTTTTTACATCTTAAGAAGGTTTTAATAGGAGTAATAGTAAAAATTGGTGTCCAAAAAATCAATTCTAACCATTTTAATTTTTATGGTAGTTATGACAATAATAATCATAATAAATTGCATTTTTTATGATTAATTTGATAATAATTATCATAGAAACTGGTGTCCTAAAATAAGTTTTTACATAAAAATTTTCACCTTTACAATTGAAAAATTAACTTAAAATTACTTTAACAATATTAAACCGATATAAAAAAAAAACTTAAACTTTGTATATTATCTAAGTATATTTCAGTTTTATAATTAATAAAAAAAAATACTATAAAATCAACATAAAAAGTGTAATGTGTTATTTAGCCAAATAAAAATCTTTTCAAGAAAAGTATACGTAAAATTTTAGAAGTTTACATGCGAATTTTTCATGCTTTAGAATTTTTTTATCAATTTTATGTTTTTTTTTTCATTTACTTCAATTAACTTTTCTAATTTCCAAGTCTTCAAGAGGTGGAGGACTTTCAATTTACTTTATATTTTTCTTTCAATTGATATCAACTCCAAGTTCCATTATTCTTTTCCCTGCCCATATCTTTTATTTAGGAATATTATTTTCTTCTTACTCTTTAACACACTTTAAATGCTTTTTTTATATTCTAGGACTTCTTGTTAGTTTTTTTCCCCTCAGACAAGTATAGTTTCTTCCTATAAAAGGCCTTTTAATGGTAGAAAAGAAAACCAGATAATCATACAATCGGAAGTTGAGAAATATCATGTACTACATTTGATCTCATTGATTTCTCTTATATAAACATATTATATAATTGAAATATCAAGATATTTACTTCTTATTACAAAACTTAGTTTTACTTAAATGTTTTACCATATTGTTTGTCATTACATTACATTTTTATTGTATTCGTAAAATCTTATTGAATACATGTGTTTTTTTTTACAGTTGTGATGGATAAAACTATATTATTTAATGAAAGTAGAACTCTAGTTTTAGTTGGACGTACAGGTAATGGTAAGAGTGCAACAGGAAATAGTATTATTGGAAAAAGAGCTTTCAAATCAAGATTGAGTTCTTCTGGTGTGACACGTGTTTGTGACTTACAAAAAACTAAAGATGAACCAATTATTAATGTTATCGATACTCCAGGTACAATACTATAACTTGTTATACATTACATGATTATGCATTTAATTTGAGTTAAAAAGAGTGTCATTTTTCATCATTGTTATCATTGTCTCTCAAAAGTTTAACATGTATATATTAAGGCTTAAATGTGTTTTAAATCTAGCAATTATGTATTTAATTCCAATTATATTTCATTTTGTTAAATTTTCTTACCCCCTATTAAATTTAGTTTTTACTTTAAATTTGTCATGGTCAAAATTTTGTTTTACATCCCTAGAGCTATAAATTAAATATAATTTAGTGTACTTGAAAATATATTTATTTTTTAAAATATTGAATTCTTAAAAATAATTGTATCTTTGAATATAAAGAAAATTATTTTTCTGTAATTAAAAAATACTATGGTTTTTATTTTTAATCTTGATAAATTTTTAATCTATTATTTGTTGATATAATAATTTTTATTTCGTTGGGAGTAAAGAAAGAAGTAATGACATTATATACGTATCAAAATCTAAAACATTTTAAAAATAAAATAAATTATATTTTCATGAATAGTAAATATAAAACCCAATGTATTTTTGCAGGACTTTTTGATGGAACTCATTCGGTTGGAAGGGAAATAGTTAAATGTATTGATATGGCTAAAGATGGAATTCATGCTATTCTTATGGTATTTTCTGTTAAGACTCGTTTTTCAGAAGAGGAACAAGCTACTTTCCTTGCTTTGCAAGCACTGTTTGGACATAAAATTGTTGATTATATGATTGTTGTTTTTACCGGAGGAGATGAACTAGAAGAAAATGATCTAACATTTGAGGATTACATAGGCAACCAGTGTCCACAACCTCTTAAGGTTTTTTTATTGTTATTATTAATATCTATTATTTTTATTTCACAATTCTCAAAAATGAAAAATAGAAAACATTAAATTTTACGAAAAATGTTTTCAAAATTTCTTATAATTTTGTTTGCTCTCAAAAAATTTCTTTCCCTTTGACTATTATCTATTTTATGATTTTTCCAAATAAATTCTTAAATAAAGTTATAATTATTAAAATTATTTAAAAAATAGTAAAATATTTCTTATCTTATGTCTTAATATTTTAATTGTATTTTCATATTTAACAAAACTTAGGTTGTTTAATCTCATTTTTCATCACTCATATACTACTTGAAGTATTATGAAAGTATTTTATCTTATGTCTTAATATTTTAGAATTTTATTAACTTTGAAAGGATTGTAACTTATGTATAGGATATTTTGGTTCTATGCGGCAATCGAAAAGTGCTTTTTGATAATAAGACTAAAGATAAAGAAAAACAATCTGGACAAGTTCAAGAACTTCTTCATCTTGTGAACATGGTTATATCACATAATGGTGGACAACCTTTTACAAATGAATTGTTTATGCAATTGAAGGTGAAGATATAAACTTGAAAATTGTTATTGAATTGATGATGTATACATATAATGAAAATTAACTCATTGTTTCATTCTATAGGAGAAAGCAAAAATAAGAGATGACCAACAAAAAGCTCTTGACTCTCTTAAAGGATATTCAAAAGCAGAAATGATGGATATTAAAATGCAAATGGAACAACAATATGTGGATGTGCTAAAACGAATGACTAATGTGGTATATATTATCTTTATGTTTTATATTTATTTCAGAGCATTTGGTTTTTATATTACTATTTTAAATCTAAACATGTTAACTCTTACATTTCATATATTTAATTCTTATAAGTAGAATTATAAGATAATCAAGGATGCGTAATTTGTGTATATAATAGAATCACAAGCATACATATTAAACAATGGATTTATCTTTTCTTAAGATATAAAAAGTGACATAAGTATTTTTTTTATTTATTCTGGTTTTGGAATAATAAATGAATAATTTGTAGAAAACAGCATTTAAGTTGTTTAACTTGTTATGGTAAGTTGTTCAGATAATCTTAGTCACTTGTTGAAATAATATATTTTACAGGAATTGCCAATTGATTTAAGTTATTTTTGAATGAATTTTTTTGATTAAAAACTTCTAAAAGAAATACGAGAAGCAAAGTTTTTCAATAAAATTAAATTCATTGGTTAAAAATCAAAATTTAAACAAATTAGATGAAAGAGATTATATAATAAGTATATAGAGTAATTAAACTCATAAATAAATTAATTTTATTTTTTTAATTTGATTCATAAGTTTTACAGATAAGTTAGTCTAAATAGGTTTTACAAACTATATTAGAGCACCTAGAATAAATCAAGATCAATTTGATATACTATGACAATTGATGAATCCAATCTGTATTATGTTTAATTGAGAATGTTATTTTATAATTTGAATCTTGTTGATAAAAAATAAATTTCATTAAAATTGGATATTTGTTATTATTTTGTTTATTAAAAGTTCATATGTTAGGTATTATGAATGTTGACATTTTATAGGTAAACATTTCAAAGTTTAACGTTATATGTTATTATTATTATGTGTTTTTTTAAAATAATTTTGTTTTAATATATAGGTGGAATCAAAGCTTAAGGAAGAAATTGCAAATCTTGGGAAGAAATTGGAAGAAGAGAGAGTTGCTAGAGTTAGAGCAGAAGAACATCATAAGTTAATTCAAATTCAATCAAATAATGAAATTGAGAGACTCAAAAGACAATTAATATTGGATAGACCACCACCTCCTGCTCTTCCTTTTCCTTTTAACTTGCTTCCTTTTCCTTTTGTGCGACCAAAGCCTCCACCTCCTTCTCCTTGTGGCATTCTTTGATTCTACCATCTTTTTAAATCTTTCTATTGTGATTAATATTTCTATTCTATAACACTTCTATAAGTGTTACAAACATTACCAAACATTGCTATGTAATTATATTGTATTTGAATTAAATGTAAATATTAAATTATATTTTCTGTACAAATTGATGGACTATTTTATATTATTTGAAAAAAATTTTATTCATTTCTTTTATTTTTCTCTCCTCTTACCCTTATATTGTAAAAAGATGATAATAATTTGTTGGTTTAATACATCATTTGGTCCCTACTTTTGGGGGTTTTGTTCAAAATGGTCCCACCTTTTGAAAAAGTTCAGTAAAGTCCCATATTTTGGTTTAAAATGTTCAATTCGGTCCTTTTCGTGGACGGCGTTAGAAACTTAACAGTGGTGGTGCTACTGTGGCGAAATTTGAGTGAGCTGTTATGTTTTGATGGTTACGTGGCACTGTAAATTGGGGAAATATCCTAAATTGGGGAAAACCCTAAAGTTTTAATAACCCTAAACCCTAAATTAGAATCAGAAACCCTAAATTGGGGAAAAATCCCCAATATCAAAACCCCGACCCTCAACCGGTTAGTCTTTCTCATATTTCCCTCCAACAGCACCGCAGGGGATTGAGGGATAGGAGAATGAGACTTTCCCTTAATGTTGCAAGGAGGTTTTTTGGTTTGCAAGATATGTTGGGCTTTGACAAAGCTAGCAATACCGTGGAGTGGCTGCTGAACCAAGCAAAAGCTGAAATCAATCGTCTAGCGAAGGAGAAAAAGAAGTAGAAGAAGAGTGTTCACCGCAGTTGCTGCAGTGCTGGTTCGGAATGTGAAGAAGGTGTGTCTAGTCTGGATGAGGTTGCAGGGAGTAGAGATGAAGAAGAAGCAGGAGAAGATTGGGGATTTTTCCCCAATTTAGGGCTTCTGATTCTAATTTCCACTTAAGGTCCCCAATTTAGGATATTTCCCCAATTTACAGTGCCACGTAACCATCAAAACATAACAGCTCACTCAAATTTCGCCACAGTGGCACCACCACTGTTAAGTTTCTAACGCCGTCCACGAAAAGGACCGAATTGAACATTTTAAACCAAAATATGGGAC